GACTCCAACTCCCAGAATCCCCCAGCCAGCATGCTTGACTGCTGGCCCCAGCGTATGGGCTGGGGGATTCTGGGAGTTGAAGTCCCCCATCTTCAAGTGCCAAGGTTGAGAAATACTGGCCTAGACCAACCGCCCGCCCCAGCAAAGGGGCCATGCAGCCAGCAGGTGAACCCCTTTCTGCCCACAGGGGAGGGGGCCCGCGATGCTGCTGCCTTTAAAACTCAGGCGCCCCGAGTGGCCTGGAGCCGAAGACTCTTCCCTGAGTCCAGGAGAGAAAAGCACTCCTACCTTTGCAAAGGTGGCCTCGTAGCCACCTGAAAATACGAACCATCCAGGAATTCAGGCAAAGCAAAAAGCCTTTATTAAGGGGGGGGTCGTCTTTTTATAGGGTACAGAAACAAAGGATATACACATTCAGTATGTATGATACATCAGAAAGCAACTAATCGAACAATAAAATACATTGATTACATATGAGAATTGAACAGTAGAAAACATGGATTCCAGATAATATTCCACAAGTGGCAAATGTATGGCTGTGTCACTCCCTTTCCCAGCCGGGTTTGTGTCTTTAAAACTTAAAAGTGTATTCAAGGACTTTCAGAATACGCTCTCTATTGTTTAGTTGCTGAAAAAGCAAGTTCTCAAATATACCCAAAGAAATGGCCTTGGCCCAGAAAAAAACATGTTTTCCTAAAGTTAGAAAAGAGGCCCAGACTGCCATGTTAAAAAATGCTAATAATACCTTTTTAAAATGCTAATAATGAAGCCCCAAATTCCAGGTAACAACGCCATGCACCTCAGGGCATCCTCATGCCAATAACCAAACAGGCAGGATGCCATGGTGGATTCCACCAGGCTGCTGTGATTGTGCTAACTCATAATGTGCTAGGTTTGGTTGGCATCTATCAAGCATGTTGGGCAAATCCAGCCACTGGCGTTCCTAAGCCAGGGTTTACGACCTAGTGTGTGTGAACTGTTACCTGGAATTTTAGGCTTCATTATTAGCTTTTTAATAAAGGTGATGTTAGCATTTTAGCGTGGCATTTCCTAAACTTCAAAAGGAGTCACAGATGCCATAGTAATAATGAAGCCTAAAAGTCTATGTAACAAGAATCCAAGGTCTGAACAGAGACCGACATCCACCCAGGCAGGAAACCAGTTTGTTGCACCATGGTGCTTCAGCCCTGCCTCCCTCCGCTTTTTCCCCTGGGGATCTCCACCCACCTGCCGCCTCTCCCCCCAGAAGACCTCTCCCCAGCCACTGCCGATAGCTCCTTGTCCCATCTGGCCAGGGTGCACGGCAGAGAGTCCTGATCACCTGTTAATGGCTCTTTGGACCCATAAGTTTATTAGTCATCCCACTGTTACCTGGAATTTTAGGCTTCATTATTAGCTTTTTAATAAAGGTGATATTAGCATTTTAGCATGGCATCCATGCCTCCTTCTGAAGTTCAGGAAACCATGTTTTCCTTATAGCCAAAGCCACTTCTTTCTTTTAAGTGCAAAAACTAGCTTTTTCAGCAACTAAACAATAGGGAGTATATTCTGGAAATCCTTAAATACACTTGCAGGTTTTAAGAAAGATACCAACTCGGCTGGGAAAGGGAGTGACCTAACCCATACATTTGCCACTTGTGGAATGTCATTTGTAATCAAAGTTTTCTATTGTTCAACTCTCACGTGTAATCAGTGTCTTTTATTGTTTGATTAGTTGCTTTTTGACATATCGCATATACCAAATGTGTGTATCCTTTGTTTCTGTACCCCATAAAAAGACTCGACTCCCCTTAATAAACGCTTTTCACTTTGCCTGAAATCCTTGTGATTCGTATTGTTGGGTAGGGGCGAAACAGCCACTTTTGCAAAAGGTAAAAGTGCTTTTCTCTCCCAAATTCAGGGAAATAGGTTCCTTCAGCTCCACGCCACTCGGAGTGCCTGAGTTTCTAGGCAACACCAGCACAAGGGGCGAGGACGAGGAGGAGGGGGGGGGAGGGTGCTCAGCCGGCCTTTAGGTGCTTATGGGGCAAGGGAAGATCAAACATGGGTGGAGAGATTTTCAAATTATTTCACAAGGTGACTGACCCAGTGTTCAGGAAAACAGGCAAAGCAACCCTTCAGGAAACAAATGTGTCAGAAGAATGGGAAATAGCAAAATACAGAAGTCTAAATAGGTTCAAGTGTTGCAATTCTTTAAAGAAAAACAGCAAGCATGATTCTACTGATGTTACTCAATCAAAGAGTTGGAGACAAGACACTTTAGTGGGCTATAAAAATAGAATTTAGTGGCTTCTCCAAAATGTTTCAGGAGGCTTCCAGGAGAAGTCAAGATAGCCTTCAAAATGAATCCAGCTGCGCCAAGAATCCAGATCTTTGGGTCCACAATGTTCCAGACAACCCATTCCAGAATAGCAAAAAACTTATTATTATTTGCCACACATGTGCAACCCTGGAAAAATCAAACTGCTCTCTCTTCCTTTCTCTTTGTGTTGGCCCCAAGCAGCAGAAAGAATTGGCGGAGAAGATAGCAAATAAATAAATAAATAAATAAAAGACGGTCCTTCAAGTGCCAATGAATGAAGGAGAACTGTGAGTGGGCACTAGGCATACCCCTGCCCTGGAGAAAAGGATTCAAAGAAGGGAATTGGACAGTCCCATCTTTAGCCCAAGTGAGGTTTGGATACAATTCCCCAAAAGGATAAATGTCTGGGAAGGCCAGGGCTATGGATTCAAGACAGGATAGGCTTGGGGGGGCGGGGCTTGCACTCCTGGAGATGCCTTCTAGAGAAGATTATGTTTAAATGAATGAAATGTATGGAAGCACTTAAGGCCAGAACAATGATTTCTCCCTTGACTGAAGTCCTTCGGAGAGGGAATCTGTGCCATTTCAAACTTTTTCTGAGATTCTTTCTTTATTTACACATCTTTCTTCTATTGCAAAACAAAAAAGGTATACATGAGCCCTTAAGTAAGCTCTGATCTGATCCATCTGTGCATTCAGTTGGACAGAGTTGTTTTCTCAGGGACACCCAAGCCTTCAAACAAATAGAAAACTATATTTTGCTTGGTTGTGTCCAGCTACAGGAGAATTCTCCCTAAGTTTCTACTCTATGTTAAGAGTGTCATGCATCAATTTTTCAAATTAATTTATGCCTAAATTTTATTTGTATTCATTCATTTCTACTAAGATTATAGGTTAATCTCCCAACAATCTTCAGTCCCTTGTAAACCAGTTAGGAAGAATACAACTGACAAATCAGCAGTGTTAGAGTGTGTATAAAAAGCTATTAATGGGCTAGCAAGTGGTATTTATTCAGGCTTTTTTGCAAACAAAAATTTAATTTAATAAAATTTAAAATAAATTTAATGAAATTTAATTTAATAAAATTCTTAAGAAGGCTTGCCAGTGGGAAGAATAGTCAACCTGGATCTTGCCTGAATTCTGTCAGCAGCTCCCAAAGAAGGATCAGCCACTTTATCTGGTTCAGACAAGTTCATCAGATGGGAAGTAATTCTTGTTAAGATGTGAATATGAATGGGGCATTTTAAATTAATTTACAGACTTAGTATTACTGTAAAACAGCTCCCAGCATTTTCAAGATGCTTTTGAAAACATTTTAGTAGCTGTGCAGGTGAACCGTCTGGCATTTTACTAATCTATGGATAAAAAAGAAACACTGCAGGAAAGGAACACCAGCTTTTGAGCAAATAAACAGACTATCCCACGGGAGCAACCACAACACTGAACCTAATGTATGTGGGGATGCGGTGGGGTGGGGGTCTCCTGAAAATACAGCACCCTCAGCTCCCGGGTGCAGCTATTCCACCTGGAGGGGAAACGGCCACCCTTTCAGTCTTCCCCTCCATCAGTCCCGGCGGGAAGGGAGCGTTCCTCCAAGGCTGCCTCCTGACCGGCCAGAAGCGCTCTGCCCCCCCGGGCTAACCGAGTGGCCCGGACCGGAGGCAGCAGGAGCCACCCTGACAGGCTCCCCTTCCTTCGGCCAGCTCCTTCTCTGGACCGCTCCGACGCTTCGGTTCCCAG